CGGAATTACAGGCATGCGCTACCATGCCCGGCTGATTTTTTTATTTATTGTAGAGATGAGGTCTCGCTGCCCAGGGCGGGTCTCGAACCCGCGGGCTCAGGCAATCCACTCACCTCAGCCTCCCAAAGACGCAGGATTACAGACTGAGCCACCGAGCCCGGCTGGTTTTTTTTTTTTTTTTTTGAGTTGAAGTCTCACTCTGTTGCCCAGGCTGGAGTATAGTGGCATGCTACAGCCACCACAGCCTTGATCTACTAGGCTCAGGCAGTCCTTCTGTCTCAGCCTTCCAAGTAGCTGGAAATATAGGTATGTACTACCACAGACGGCTTATTTTATTTATTTTATTTTATTTTGGAGACGAGGTCTCGCCAAGTTGTCCAGGCTGGTCTTGAACCCTTGAGCTCAGGTGGTCCTCTTGCCTCCGCCTCCCAAAGTGCTGAGATTACAGGTGTAGCTACCGCACCTAGCCGGAGACAAGGTCATGCTACATTGCTCATTCTATCTTGAACTCCTGGGCTCAGGCAGTCCTTTTACCTCGGCCTCTCAAAGTGCTGAGATTATAGGCATGAGCCACTGTGCCCAGCCTGAGACGAGTTACAGCTATGTTGACCACTCTGGTTTCGAAATCCTAGACTCATGTAGCCTTCCTGTGTTGGCCTCCCAAAATGCTGGGATTACAGGTGTGAGCCACTGTGCCAGATTGCCTGTCTCTTTAAACTGAAATATTAAAATTGAGTTCAGTTCAGTCTTATCAGATATTCTCTAAACTACTGCTCTGTTTGTTTTACAGTTTCATGGTGATGATATGGCATCTGCCAGTTCCAGCCGGGCAGGAGTGGCCCTGCCTTTTGAGAAATCTCAGCTTACTTTGAAAGGTTAGTGGCCTGTATGAGGTGTTTATTCTGTCTGTAGTTATGGAAGAGGTGGAATTATACCTCACCTTGACCTAGAGAGCGACATTTTGTGAAGTAACTTATGAGTGTAACTATTTATTCTCATAGAATTGTTGTGCTGGGATTCTTGAAGAAGAAGAAAGCAACTAGTTTGAAGAAGGGAAAAAAGGAACTTTTTGTTAAAATTTTCTAAAATTTCTTCACACTTCGGGGTTCATTTTTATTTAAACTCACACCCTAGATGATCTCATCCAGCCTCCTGGCTTTAAATGCCACCAGTAGAAGGTCACTCCCTCTGGGCCTTTCCTCTGAACTCCTGATTTGTAATTTCAATAGCCAACTTGTCAACTCCGCTTGAATGTTTAGTAAATGTCTAAAATGTAACATGTCTGTAACTGAGATCCTTTTTTTTTGTTTGTTTTTTTTGAGTCGGGGTCTCACTCTGTCATCCAGACTGAGTGAAGTGGCACAATTATGGCTCACGGCAGTCTCAACTTTTTGGGCTCAGGGGATCCTTCTGTCTCAGTCTCCCGAGTAGCTGTGACTACAGGTGTGTGCCTTCACATGCCTGGCTAATTTTTTGATTTTTTTTGTAGAGACAAGGTCTCTTATGTTGCCCAGGCTAGTCTTGAACTTTTGGACTCAAGCAGTCCTCCCACTTTGGCCTCTCAAAGTGCTGGGATTATAGGCATGAGCCACAGCACCCTGATTTCCTGTTTTTAATTTTCTTTCTCATTACCTTGCATTCAACCTATCAGCAAATCTTGTTGGCTCTGTCTTCAGAATGATCCGCATTTAACCATTTCTTACCACTTCCAAGGTCCCAGCCTCATCCATGCTGCCTTCATCTCCACCTTGGATTAAGGCAGTAGCCTTTCAACCTGTCTCCCTGCTTCTGCCCTTTGCCTTCCTTCTTTCTGTTGACCAGTGATCTTGTTAAAATGTAAACTGGGACTCAGTATGGTGGCTCATGATTGTAATCCTAGTGCTTTCGGAGACCAGTGCCTGGGGATCTTTTGAGCCCAGGAGCTCAAGTCCAGTCTGGGCAACAGAGCAAGTCCCTGTCTCTACAAAAAACAAATTTAAAAAATTAGCTGGGTGTGGTGGCGCATACCTGTAGTCAGGAAGCTGAGGTACGAGGATCGTTTGAGCTCAGAAGTTCAAGGGTGCAGTGAGCTGTGATGGTGCCACTGAACTCCAGCCTGGTCAACGGAGTGAGACTCTGTCTCTAAAAAATAAAGAAATAATAAAAAAGTAAGCTGGATCTTGCACTTCTCTGCACACACCCTTTGAGGGCTTTCTGTCTCACTCAGAGTAAAAGCTGAGCTCTCACATGATGTGCTTCCCCCAAGGCCCCCATTTCTCATCTTCTGTCACTTGTCCACATTCGCTCTGCTTGAGCTACATGAGCTTCTTTGGGGGCTTCTGCCTCTGGGCCTTTGCACTTGCTGTTCCCTCTGAGTGAAGTGCTTTAAGCTTGCTTCCTTACTTTCTTAGGACTTTACTCAAAAGTCACCCTCTTCAGTGAGGCCCTCCTGATCCCCTGACCTAATAAAGGCCTTCCTTCCTCCCGGATTTCCTCACAACTATCCTCTTCCCGGATTAAGCATACTACGTGCTTTTATTTATTTCATTTATTCAGTCTCCTTCATAGAATGAATGTAAGCTTCACATGAACAGGAATTTTTGTCTTGGTCACTGTTGATACCCCAGCCACTAGAGCGGTGCCTGACACATAGTGGGCACTCAGTAAATATCGCCTGCATGAAAGAATGTTGTTTCAGTCACCGTAGCTCTCCAGGAGTCACGGGACTGAGCAGATGCCTGGGGTGGGGCAGCAACACTCAGTGTCTGTGCTCAGGCCTCTCATTATGGTCCTCTGGAGGCAAAATTGTATCTTTTTTTTTTGAGTTGGAGTCTCACTCTATCACCCAGGCTGGAGTGCAGTGGTACAGTCATGGTACACTGCAGCCTTAACTTGCTGAGCTCAGGTGATCCTTCCACTTCAGCCTCCCGAGTAACTGGGACTACGGGCATTTGCCACCATGCCTGACTAATTTTTTGATTTTTGTAGAGATGAGGTCTTGTCTTGCTACGTTTCCCAGGCTGCTCTCGAACTCCTGGGCCCAAGCAATCCTCTTGCCTCGGCCTCCCAAAATGCTGGGATTATAGGTGTTAGCCACCCTGCCTGGCCAAAATTATGTCTTGAAAATATATATATACATTTTTTTGTCAGTCTCACTCTGTTGCCCAGGCTGAAGTGTGGTGGCACAGTCACAGCCACTGCACCCTTGGCCTGCTGGGCTCAGGCAATCCTTCTGTCTCAGCCTTCCAAGTAGCTGGTACTATTGGTACATGCCACCATGCCCAGCTAATTTTTTTCATTTATTATAGAGATGAAGCCTAGCCATGTTGCCCAGGCTGTTCTTGAACTCTTGGATTCAGGTAATCCTCCCGCCTTGTCCTCCCAGAGTGCTGGGATTATAGGTGTGAGTCACTGCGCCCAGCCTGACAATGTTATTCATTAATATTTTTGAAATATAAATGTTATTCATTTATTTAATACAGTCACAGTTCAAAATTATTTCCTTTCCTCCAGCCCTTCAGTGCCTCTGCTTGGAGGTAACCAATATTATCAGTTTCTCTGTGTCCCTTCCATGGAATATCAAAGGGGATGTATTTTTGTAATTTTGAGAGCCAGATAGTCTTCCTTGGAAGGAATACTCTTCCAGCAATGTATGAGTGTGCCCATTTCTCTACATCTTTACCAACACAGTGTGTTACCAGACTTTTTATTTTTACTGATCTGATGGGAACAAGCTTGTTTCCTCACTGTAGTTTTATTTCCCACTTCTTTGGTTATATAGTTGACCTTTGAACAATGTAGGGGTTGGGGTGCCGACTTCCTGCACAGTCAAAAATTCACATGTGGCCAGGCTCGGTGGCTCAGCCTGTAATCCCAGCATTTTGGGTGGCCGAGGTGAGTGGATTGCCTGAGTCCGCGGGTTTGAGACCCGCCTGGGCAACTTGAGGAGACCTCATCTCTACAATAAATCAAAAATTAGCCAGGCATGGTAACGCGCGCTTGTAGTTCCAGCTACTTGGAAGACTGAGGTGGAAGGATCGCTGGAGCCCAGCAGGTTGAGGATGCGGTGGCCGGGAGCAGCCATTGCACTCTAGTCTGGGTGACAGAGTAAGACTCCAACTCAAAAAAAAAAAAAAAAAAATTCACATGTAACGTTTGACTTCCCTAAAACTTAACTACTAATACCCAACTATTGACCAGAAGCCTTACCAATGAAAAAAAAAGTAGATTAACACATATTTATTATGTTGTATGTAATATATACTATATTCTTACAGTAAAGTAAGCTAGAGAATAGAAAATGTTATTTAAAAAGTCATAGGCTAGCTGGGCGTGGTGGCTTATGCCTGTAATCCCAGCACTTTGGGAGGTGGAGGCGAGAGGATTGCCTGAGTTCAGGGGTTCGAGACCAGCCTGGGTAAACTTGATGAGACTCGTGTCTACAATAAATCAAAAAATTAGCTGGGGGTGGCGATGCCTGCCATTGGTTCCAGCTTGGAAGGCTGAGGCGGAAAGATCTCCTGAGCCCAGCAGACTGAGGCTGAGGCTGTGGTAGCTATAAATGTGGCACTGCACTCCAACCTGGGTGACAGAGGGAGACTGTCTCAAAAAAAAAATAATAATCATAGGCTGAGCATGGTGGCTCCTACCTGTTAACCCAGTGCTTTGGGAGGCCAAAGTGGGAAGATTGCTTGAACCCAGGAATTCAAGATCAGCCTGGGCAACATGGCACGACCCCATTTCTACAAAATAATAATAATAATAATTAACTGGGCATGGTGGCACATGTCTGGAGTTCTAGCTCTTTGGGAGGCTGAGGTGGGAGGATTGCTTGAGCCGAGGAATTTCAGGGTGCCCAAGTAGTTGGAGACTGCAGTGAGCTATAATTGCACCACTGCATTCCATCCTGGGTGACAGAGCGAGGCCCTGTGTCTCAAAATAACAAAACAAAAAACAAGAAACTATTAAGGAAGAGAAAATAGATTTGCTCTGTATTAAGTGGGACTGGTTCATCCTAAAGATTGTCATCCTTGTTGACTCCACACTGAGTAGGCTGAGGAGGAGGAGGAAGAGGAAGGGTTCATTTTGCTGTTTCAGGAGTAGCAGAGGTGGAAGAACATTCACGTGTAAGTGGATCCTCAAAGTTCCAACTTGTGTTGTTCAAGGATCAATTGTAAATGATGTTTCACATCTTATCATATACTTGTCATATACTCAAGGGCAGTTTGTATTTCTTGTTCATTTTCTTTACCTGTTTCCCATTGGGTTTTTGATTTTTTTCTTTTTCTTTTTTCAGTCTTGAAACATTTTAATTATTTTTCTTGGAGTCTCGTGGCTGCTATAGCGCTTTTGCTTAGGGAGATGGTTTAGAGTGAACTGATACAGTTTTGGCCTTGGGACTACAGCCTTTACTACCTTAGCTAATAATTAGCAAGTGAGGGCAAAGCAGAAGCTTGTCCATGGAGCCTGGGAACATCGTGAGGTCCCTGTTTTGGGGCCATATTATTCGGGAACACACATTTCTTTTTTTTCTTTTTTCTTTTGGAGTTGGAGTCTCCCTTTGTTGCCCAGGCTGGAGTGTCGCACACTCATGGCTCATCACAGTCTCGACCTCCTGGGCTCGGGCAATCTTTCTGCCTCAGCCTCTGAGTAGCTGAGACTACAGGCTCATGCCACAGTGCCTGGCTGGTTTTTTTGTTTTTTTGTAGAGGCAAGGTCTAATTGTGTTGCCCGGTTACTCTTGAACTCCTGGGCTCAAGCAGTTGTCTTGCCGCAGTCTCTCAGAGTGCTGGGATTCCAGGCATGAGCCACTGCACTCGGCCTATTTCTTATTTTACTCAAAAAAACATATTGGCGGCCAGGTGAGGTGGCTCAAGCCTGTAATCTCAGCACTTTG